AGCATTTACAACCCACAGGATTACACAGAGAACTTGGTGCAAATCTTGTAACCACATTCTAAAATCTGTTGAGTGACCCAAGGAATTCATGAAACCATTCTTATTTCTCACAATAGTGCCCTCCTCCCACATTTTAGCAACCTAGGAGTTCTACAAAATAATGTTAATACCTCAATATGCCAAAGTCCTTTGTAGGACTGTGGCTTAAATCAAAAGCTTGAAGAAATCTATTGGAAAAGCTCTAATTTTTGCATCAATCTCTTAATTTTATTTGTTAAATTGAGTGATAGGAAAGGCTGAATAATGAATTTTTAAGCAGGTATATTTAGTATGTCTGGAACTACTAAATTTTTGTTCTAACCAATCATTTATCCAGCTATCAGTGAAACATGGCATTCATTTCAATGATTTCAAGAGAAGCTAGAAACATTACTGGGTTTTCAGTACAGGATTTAGTTCTAGATTAAGATGCTTACATTTAGGTAGGTGTCTCTGGTGCACCAGTGTCTCAAGTTATTGCTGTAATCACTGGAGATGCAGGGGGCAATTTGGCTTTCTAAGCAGGTGTCTAGCACCACTGGTATTTGCTTGGCCTTCAGCTGCTACTCCAGAAGTACAAATCTCCCACAGGTTTTTTATCAGAATTGTCATCCTTTCAGGGATGTCTCAGCCTTGAGCACCTCCAACAGGCATAAGTGTGAAGCCCCTACTGAACACAGTTAAAGCTTCCTGGAGAGCAATTCAGCTTTTTTTAACTGCTGTAGGGTTGAAAAAATTGAATGTAGGGTTCAATTCAGTGGCCTAAAAACAAACGCATGGTGCAATCTTAGATAACCATAAGTTATTATGCCAGGCCTCCAGCTGCCTCTTCTGGGGGGAACAGACTTCCCACAGGGCTTGGACCCCCTTCTGGGCTTACAGTGGTGGTTAGTAACTCCAGGCACCTCAAATGGCACTAAACACTAATTCAGGGAAATGCATTGTTCTCTGAGCCTCAAAGATTTACCTGAGTTTAAATAGGAGCCTACATATCTCATATGCCTATAAACCATGTAGATTTATTTATCTGTATTTTAATCCCACACTCAGTGAAAGATTCACATTAAAGTAGCAAGATGCCAAGTAAGATGCAGGAAGCTATCTTAATTCTACATGACAGATTAATATCTTTATTTAATAGCTATTTCACAGCTGACAGATGGAGAACTAATACTCATTTCAATTTGCTTGTTTGCAAATGCCATGCACAACAAAATGTATTAATATACAAATCAAGAAATAAATCTCTATTTATTGAACAGGAGTTTGAATAATCCCAAGAAAGCTCTTTCTATGCAGGTTAACATATCCAAACACTTAGAAGCAATAAGTAGCCTGGAAGAAGGAACAGTCAACATGGCTCTGTAAAGTCAAACACTTGGCCATGCTCATCATGACCTGGCTTGGGTAATCCAATGAAACCTATTTTAACAGCTCCCAAATTATAAACATCAAAGCACAGTGATGCATGACTTATCTTGTCTAAAGATGTTTATGGGAACATTAGAGAAAGTTAGATCACATGCAAATCTCTGCTGAGGTGCAATAATTGTGCATTTGGTCCATGCAAGAGCCCAAGCAAACATTTCCTAAAAGACTGAAAAAATATTGGACATGCTTTCAAATTGGACTTATTCAAACAAACCCTCTGATAAGCTGATATAAGAGGTTATAAGAGGATGCACCTTACTCTTTTTATAAGGTAGTAGAAACTATATCTTTCATTCTACCCCACAGTGTTACTGTTGGTGGCATTCTCCCTTCAACTCTTAAAAGCAAAAAGTGAAATAGCAGCTAGAAAATTTCAGGCTCAATTTTTGGCCAGTATTTAATAACTTAGCAGCATCTTTACTTCCATGTCTTTGCTGGCTGTCATAGGTGAGTGATCATAGGAGAGAAGTCATGCCTGATTATTACTCAAAGTGCTTGCTCTTTTACTCCAAATCTCTTCCCCAGTTGCTCTGGTTTTACAGCATTTTGGTAGGTGGGAGGAGGAAAAAAAAAATCTGCATTACTATTAAAGGTCATGAGCTAGAAAAAGAGATGCACATATTGTCCTCTTACTCCAGGGAATGTTACTTAAACTAAGAGTAATTCTGCACACACTTCAGAGAATTGACAGCAATGCATCTTCCCTGCAAGGGTAAAAACTAGAGCTATTTTTTCCCTTCCTGTAAAATTAAATGTCTTTTTACTGTATGTAGTTCAACCTAACTTTATGAAGTAATATACAAGTATAATGACCAGTTAATATGCAAGTGTAATGACCAGTGTTGTATATCAGTCTGAAACAATCCTTAAACAATTTTCAATTATATAGTTAAAACACTGATGAAGTGCAATTCCCTATGGGATGTAAGGCCACATACAGATTGACAACTGCTACTCTAAACACTGCCAAAAATGAATACAGAGCAAATTTCAACCAAGGACAAAGGGGCACACTGCTGCTGTAATAATAAAAAAAAATGCCATAGGAGCTTCTGCAGTATATTTCCATCTAGGCTCAAGAACAGCCTCTCTGTCTACAAAGTCAATTTATGCCTACAGGATTCCTGCTAGCATTTTTCCAGCAACAATGTAAGCCATGAGTGTAGAGCTGTATGGCTCATTCTCCATGTGATTTACATTCAGTCTAATAAACAGAGGGAATTTAAATAAGCAAGTTGTTTGAGCTGACAAACCCACAAAATAAGGACAGTTACCTCTACCTATATAAGCTGACAAGAATTTGGTTTTCCATGGCCACCTAGGACACCTGCAGATGGCAAAATATTCCAGCCACAGAGGAGTTTAGTTTGCAGCACAGGAATCACAGAGTTTGGTCTTGGGTAAATCATGCAACATTTAAATTTATAGTTCACCATTTCTTTTCAATGACTCTGAAATAACAATACACATTTACCTAATTTCAAATATTTTGTGAGAATTAACTGATGTTAACACGCCTTTTAACCACACGAAGCACTGTATGTAGTAGACAATTTAGCAAGTTTTGCAGAACGAAGATTTCTAATAACCCTGCTGAATTTAGAACATATCATTTCACATAAAAAATTTCTTTTAAATGGGTTGCCTATATCAAGCCAGCAAATGTCATCTTTCAACTAAGAAAGTGTTTTATAAGGTTTAATCATCTACCAGAAACTCTCACAACATTTCCTATGGTATATTTAAGCTGCTAGTGTAGCACTGATGGCATTATGTAATCTGTGAGCAGGATATTGAGGGGGAAAGTCAACTATTTCATTGGAAGAAGTAGATAACACTCAGTTACTATGTCTCCTGTATTTTATTTGCTTGCTTCTTTGGTTTTGACCGTGTTTACTTTGGTTCTTGTTTGATGAGGAAAACCCCAAATATTTTGTTAGAAAGTATTAGATGATTAGAGAACCGTTCTTACAAGTTAAGTAGTCATTTAGACAGAATATTTCACTCAATTATAATTAATCAATACAAACACAGCCCTTAAAGCACACCCACATACATGTGAAAAGAGAGGATCTTACCCTTTCACTCATTCAGCTACTCTTCTGAAATAATTTCATGCATCATCTCGTATTCTTATGTCCACATCACCAGATCCAGCAAGTGACCTTTTCCCCCCCAGCTCACTGACCCAGGGAGCTTTACAGCTGCAAAATGAGGTGTACAAGGCCTCAGTCTGCAGGAGCAGAGGTGCCTTCACAGAGCTGTGAAGTGCCCTTGAATCCCATGGCTCACACTGGGGGAGGCCAGCAGACCTCTGAATACATGGTTTCCCCACTCAAAATGCCATCATGTGTAGGGGGTACAGTATGGGTAAATGAAGGTGCTATAGAATGTAATCTTACCCCCTAAAGAGTTGCAGCTGAGCCAATTACTAAAGATTAGGAGCTGGTCTGATGTTAACAGGCCACAGCTGTAGCCAATAAGAAGAGTGTTATAAAAGAGTGGAGTGGTTGATAAGGGGAACTGGAGTTAGTTGGCTGCTGAGAAGATAAGGAAGAGTCAGTGTGTGGAGGAGCTGCCTACAAGAACCATCCAGGAGGTATAAAACTCTAACAATATGGAACACTTGCAATGTAATGATATTAGAACTCTTGCACTATAATGACAACAATTACGTTTTCTTTTTGCAATTTTTTTTGTCTGTCAGCCTAACCTATGGCACTCAGCTAGAATTTTTTCTTTTAAAAGGTGTGACTGAAACCATCTAAATTATCAAGGAATATGCATTGGCCCAGAGACTGTACTGCAATTCTGCCATCAGGACAAGGGCAAGGGAAAAAAGGATCTCCTCCTTCAGCCTTGCTGGGCAAGACTGCTAAGTCAGAACAGGTTATCATGAGAGACCAGCTGAAAGAATATTTGAGGTCAACACTGCCTTTTCTCCCTGCAGGAGGGCTGCTACTGCTGCTACAGCACATTCCCTGTTCAACTCTTACGTTAAACTGTGGAAGTCCAACACAATTTCAGTGTTGTTTCCCTGCCTCACCAACTTGGGAAGATAGGTAAACTGCATTCAAGAGTAACTGTAACCACAGAAACATCCTCCTGTGCCTTTCCACTTCCAAATATTTGCTGGTCACCTCTTCCCTGTGGGTTCTCTGAAGCAGAACTTCCCTTTTTGATCCCTCTGACCAAATAATCATCACCACCTCCTCCCTCAGCATTGCTCAAGTGAAAGGCTGCTTCCCACACTTCCCAAAAGCTTCACCAATGCCAGTGACTTTGTCACTGCTCTGTTTGCCTGTGGTTCCCATCAGAACAAGCATCTGCAGGACCCTACATACCATCTGCTCACAACTCTACAAAAGTGCACTCATATTATGTGTACTCTGAAATGGCAGCAGGGCCCCTAGCTTATTGCAGAATCAATAACTATCTTCTTGGATTATAAAATACTTAATTCCACTTCCCAACAGCTTCCCCTCCCATTCCACTCCCCTTGATCACAGTTAGTCTCAAGGCTTTGTTACCTTCTTTTACTTCTTCTCTGCAATGGCTTCACCTCCAGGATTTCCCTTCTGAGGTCAAATCTCAGATGAGAGGTTTTGTTTTAACCTTCTCTCTTCATTTCTTTTGTCTTCTCTGTTTATCATCCTTAAGATTTAGGAAAAGTCCCCTAAAAAACATTCTGTAAAGAATCTTAGATTAAAAGTGTGATACATATAAATCTTAAATTCTCTTCATTACTATTCGGGGAAAAAATCTACCCACATATAATTTGCTTATTTTTATTGTGTAGTAACTTCAGCACTTTAAATTATTCACTATGGAAGTAATATTTTAACCATACCCTGCAGCATTTAACAAATACAGAATGTTAACATAATGAAGGCCAGAGCAGCAATTTGGTGTACATGTACATGTGAGATAGTTGACTCAAAAGCCTGGAGCAGCAGCTCTCTGAAAAATCATGCATGTCAGCATTTCTTGGACTAAACTGTACTCTCTTTCACATTTGAAAAAAAAATTAAGCAGCTTTCATGAAATTTATTATATCCTTTTGGAAAAATATTATCCTCAAGACACCAGTGAGCTCTAACTCTTAGAAGGGAAAAGCTATAAACCTTAAACTAAAAAGCTTTCACTAGAGATTTGTCTGTCAGATTATTTCTACACACTGCTACCTGAGAACAATGTGAAAAGAACTGCTCCCCCTCAGTTCTCTGTGATTTACTGTGCAGTCACTGCCGTGCTACTTTTGCTTTATCATCCCACTCTGAAACAATAAATCAGTGCAGAGCTAAAGGTGTCACAAAGTTTCCTGCTCCTGCAATATCCTGCAGCGTGGCACTGCAGCACGATGCCAGGAGGATCACACCAATTTCCTTCGTGTTTCAGTGTTTGAATAATCTCCAGGTAATCTGCATTAAAACCATTCTACTGCAGTGTACTGCGGTATTAGGAAAGATTTCAATATTGCACCACGTGATGCAACACAACCTTACAGCGTTTGGCATCTTCCAGGCAGTCAGGGAAAGCTTTGAATCCATGGCTGCAATGTAGCAACTTTCCATTTTACAAAGTGATAGGACTGACTATTCTGGCTCACTCTTGGTGTATAGAATGAAATTATACGAAATATCTGGAATAAATTATTATAGACCTGAAACCCATTTTTTTTTCTTCTTTTTTTACTTACAGCCCCCTCCCCCGCTATCTTTGGATGATAACAGATTTCCTTCACCTTAAGGGTACAGTAAACCATTACAATGTTATTAACCTTAAGGGTACAGTAGAGTGTTACAATGTTATTGGCCAACTGATACATTAATTTTACTAATCTAGAGATTATTTTTCCAGTTCTTATTTAAACTACCACAGCCACATTTCCCTCTCTGCCTTTTGAGCGTGCATATTTTTTAGTTTAACCTAAATTTACATGTATGTTTTTCTGCGGCTTCATGTCAGTCGTAGAAAGCAGTAACATTTCAATGTTTCTCCAATATTTACACAGAGATTTTAATTATTTCTATGAAATTTTGGGAATGCTCTACAGATTTGTGTGCTCACATCAAAGATGCATGAAAAGCATATGAGTTTTGCCTTGAATGAGCTTTTCCCCTCAGTAACACGAGTCAATGCAAAATGGTACCTGGCTATATTTTCAGCTAGTGAATTTTTTTCTTTCTGCGAGTCTGTGAGAGAGTTTAGAACTGCATTTCGAAACAGCCTCTGAAAGTCTGGGCTATCACAAGAACAACTGCAGAGGCAGAAAGAGCGGCACAGGTGAGCTCTTGTTACCCCCTGCGTTAGCGACCTGCACATGGCAGGATTTGGATGCTGCAGCACCAGCTGGGGCCCGGCGGCGAGGGAAGGGCACGGGCTGACATTGCCTGCAGCGCCTGGCAGTTTCCCGCAGGGCGAGGGTCCCCGCAGGCGCTGCTGTGCGCAGGGCACGGCCGGGCAGCGCTGCGCACCCTGCCCCATCGGGGACACGGGGCAGCCAGCCCCGCACCTGCTCAGGGCCCTGCTCACCTTGTCAGGATGGGTCTCGTTATCATTTCCCAACCCCTTCCCCCGCCACGAAACCGGCCTCGACCGACGCTTCGGGTACAGGGAACGCCACAGACCCGCTTCCCCCCCCGACCTGCGCGGGTCCCCGCCGCTGCCGACACCCCGCGCCCCTCGGTCGCAGCCCCTCTTTTCCCCCGGGGGTCCCCCGGTACCTCGCAGCAGCCATTTCCCGACTCTCTCGGCAGCTCCAGCGGTGATGTCACCGGCCGAGCCTCCTCGGCGGCGGGATGCACCGCTCCGCGCTCCTGCCTCCCTCCCGCCGCCGGCGGCACCTTCTTCTTCTTCCTTCTCTTTCACCTCCTCCTCCTCCTGCTGCTGCCGCCCCGCCCCGCCGTGCCCGCGCCCGCTGCCATGCGGCGCCGGCCCCGCCCCGCCCGCCGCTGCCCGGGGCGCTCCGGCTCTGCCCGCCGCGCTCCCCGCTCCCGGCAGCCGGGCGGGCACGGAGGGGCAGCCCCACCGCAACCATCGCAGCCGCGGCTGCTGCTGCTGAGTCACGGCCTGAATCCCATCCCGCTCCTCCTCCTCCTCCTCCTCCTCCCCCGCGCCGCCGCCTCCCGCCCGGCTGCCGGCTCCAGCAGCGCGGTGCCGGCGGCGATGCCCGCCCCGCTGCCGGGGGGAGAGGCTGCCCGGCGCTGCCCGGCCCCTCGCCGCTCGCCGCAGACCCGCGCACGCACAGGGGCAGCCGGGCGCTTGAGCCATGATCGCCGCGGCTTTCCTGGTCCTGCTGAGACCCTACAGCATCCAGTGCGCCCTCTTCTTGCTCCTGCTGCTGCTGGGGACCATTGCCACGATTTTATTCTTCTGCTGCTGGCACCGCAGGCTCCAGAAAGGGAGGCATCCCATCAAATCCGTCTTTTCAGGTCGCTCAAGGAGCCGAGGTAAGAGACGCTGCCGCTCCCTGAGGGCGGCAGGGGGTGTCCCCGGCCCATCCCCGGCTTTGTGCCGCCGGAGGGCCGCCGTGGCACGGTTTAGCCGGGCAAAGGCTTTAAAGAAAATTCAAGCCGAGCCCAGGACTGCGGCAGCCTTGTCTCCACCCATCCCTCAGCGAAACCTCGGCTAGAGGGAGAGAGGTGAGAGGCTGGGAAGCCCCCCCAGCCCTCCCCGGTGTGTCAGAGCGCAGCAGAACTTTATGCCCAACTTCTCGGCGATGAATTAAATATAAATGCCGGGCGGAACTGCCGGCTGTGCCCGAGGGGCCAGAGCCGTCCCGGAGTGTGCGCCGGAGGGCGAGCGGCGGGGTAACCCCGTTAGCCGGGGTGAAATGCCAGGTGCAGCTGGTGGAGCCTGTGTCTCTTTCTGCTTCCCTTCCAGATGCTGTCATGAGAACTCATCACTTTCGCTCTGAGGTAATTTATTTAGCACGCAATTTCAAGGTCAGAAGTTGTTCTCTTTACCCGAGTACCTATTGTCGTGGTCTTTTGTTAATGAAATCACCTAGCAAACTTTTCATTTTGCATGAAAAACATAACGTCCTCTTTCATCTCTTGGTTTGGTTTTTTCCCTTCCCAACACAAAATGAGCTCTTCATCTGTGTTACCCTAACCGGCCTGCCGATTCGTGTCATTCCCAAAGGAATTGGTTACTTGGAGGAAAGCAGTGCTTACTGTACGTGCCAGAGCTCCCCGTGCCCAGAAGCTGCCCTGAGCCCAGTTATGGACGGGCTGGAAATGCGTGCAGAGCGGTGGCGCTGGGGCTGCGGAGCCCCTGCTCCTGGCTGTGCCCACAGCCCTGCTGCTCCCGCCAGGCAAGCTCCCTGCCAGGGAGATCCCAGAAGGATCCAGACTACAATCCTGCTTGGCAGGGACCTCGATGTGTGACTTTGTATGCAGAGGTCAGGGGAATCAAAACTCTTACCATGCCAGTGCTGAAAGTATAACACAAACCCCAGTCACTTCCTAGGGATTCTGGATGAGGAGCATAATTGCTGGGAAAATATGAAAAATAATATTTGTTTTAGTACCCACTTTGTTTCCACGCTGCCCTGTAGAGCTCCTGTCTAGATATTTCTCTTGCCTGGTTTCCTGCTATTGATTTAAGGCATATCTTCATGCCATTGCCTATTATTCTGAAAGCCTTGAGAGACAGTTTTGCACCCAAATGATATTTTGTTTTAAATTATTTTCCCTTACCCTGCTGTGGGTGTGAAAATTTTCCAATTATGACTAATGTTTTCAGAAGTGTGCATGGGATACATTTTTGCAGCATGGTTTGTATTGGCAATTAGTTTTAAATTCTCAACTATTTTGAAATTTGTACACACCATCACAAAAAGAGGATGCCATAGGGAGTGTCCTATCTTTAAACCATGAAAAGCCTGAGTTTGTTGTTCAACAGTGCTCCAGTAAAGCAAACAAACAAATGTGTACCTTTGGAAATCAAAATATTTTTTCACTATTTAGTTTATCCAATATGAAATGCTTGGTTTCCATGTAAAATTCACTCAGTCCTGAGCCTAGATGGAGATAAAGTTTAATGTTTTGAAATATGTACCATCCTGCATGGTGACACTTCAGAGGGAAGTTGGCAGAGTAATTTATTTTTATTGCTTCAGCATGTGGTTATTTGTTTATCATCCAGTCAGAAGCAGATGAATTTAAAATATTTGCTAGAAGCTTCCATTAAGTGAAACATACTAGGGTAACTTATATTCTTTCATAATTTTCTGTATTTTGTTTAGATGGAATGCTACAGCTAGTAGTCTAAACTGCTCTTTTAAATAAGTGGTAGAACTGTTTTTCCTTTCATTTTCTGATGAGACTTTTGATAGAGAAACGATGACTCATTTGACATCATTAAATTTTCATTTTCCAATATTTTTTCAAGTAAAATGTTATTTTAATGAATCTAATAGAATTAATTAATGAAAAAACTACAGGCATACTTCCAATAAAAATATTGGAAACATTATCTGAAGCAGAATTTGACATTCTCTATCTATATCATCACAAAACATTACGCATTTCCAACTGCAGTACAATGTTGATGAAAGAAAAGCATGATACATGAAAATATGGGCTTTGTATAATCCCCCCACCCCAAAATGAATGTAATATCTCAGCTCCAAGTTTTATGGCACAAGGTACATCTGCTAGCTTCCACCATGCTTAGCTGTTTATCAGGTATAGTTATAAATAGTGTTTCTTAATTAGAATAAAAGATAATGAAAAGCAGGCTGATAGTAAATAGCAGTGGGTTGGCATTCATCTCCTGAGAGCTGGGTTCAAATCCGACTTCCATCACATGTGAACGTGCAGGTGGTCTAGCAGCAGTGCACAGAGAATTATAATTGCCCTATCTACAGAGCCTTGGCAATTCCTGCATGATTGACTGCCTGCCAGGAAAGCCTTATATTTGGAAAAATAGATGTGTGCAAATTTATGTTGAGATTCTTTGCCACAGCCACAGCTCTCATGGTGCATGCCTTCATTGTCTATACACAGGGAGAACTCTTGAATCCTTTTCTTTTAATACTGAACCACACAATAAAAAACAAGACTGCATACTATGAGAGGCTAGACACAAAATTTGAAAATGTATTTATGATCTTTTCAGTCCTTCTGTTTTGAATTTTATGTGCCACTGGTGAATTGAATCCCCAAACAGTTCATTTTTGTGGGCCTTGATTTTTAATGTCTCTGCAAAACATGCCTCATTATTATACATCAAAAGTCTATGCAGATATTACTTATTATAGAATGAACTTAAACACTTGACCCCCTGCCTCAAAAGGAGGTAAATTTGCATGAATCATTATGAATACAAAGTAGGTGAAAGTCTGTCTTTGTTAGAGGTGCTTAATAACAGAAAACATTAACCAGGAAGATGTGGGAGTTTCTTGAGATAATACAATTATTGTCTCCACCTCTCCACTAACACTTGCTACCATCTGAAGTTTTTCAGGCCTAATTTTTAATATATTTTTTATTTACAGTCCTCAGGTTCATCATGACTGTAACTGCTCTTAAGATTTTTCCATTCCCCAGGTACTACAGAAATTCTATGAAGTCACAAAGGAATCACACCCAGAATAGTTAATGTTCCTAATCTCAGGGAGACCTAGATATGCCACTGCTTTAAAAAGAAAACAAGTAAATTTCCAACAGAAATATTCATTGCTACATGACACATCAGACTTTGATGTAGTTGTTTGCACTACTCGGTCTTTATTTTGAGAATCAGTTGTAGAATGAAATATCTGTGCTAAACCAAATCCACACCAAAATAACAGTATAACTCAGTGAGAATTTTACCAAAATAGGGACTATGATTAATTGTTTGGCCTTTATTATTATTATTATTATTATTATTATTATTATTATTATTGTAACAGCCATAAATGATTCCCTAATTTTATTATTTTTGTGCTCTTTGTAGAAGTTTTTTTCATGAAGCAAAAGAATTTTCTCTGAGTACTTTGTGGGCTTGGGCTTGACTCCTTTCAATGTTTATCATTTTATACCTTAGGAAGAGGTCTGAAAGTCTCCTGTACCTTTCAGTTGAAAAGCATTGCTTAATGTGTTGGTGTTGCCACTTGTGATTTAAATTTCTTTCTGAATTAGTTTTCCTCATAGTTGAAGCCTCTGGAGTCACTGGATTATGTGAGATTTTTACCTTCAATTAAAAGAGAAGTAAGCTTCTAGCCCTTAGGCTGGAAGGAATTAATCTGAATGGTATAATTCTTAATGTCTTTTGATTTGGTGGTACAAACTGTTGAAAAGGAAGGTTCTCATTCAGGATCTATAAATGGTTGGGTTTTATGAGATTGTGAAGGGATTATTGTGCTAATTGCTAAAGTAGCAGTTTTCATGTTATTGAGGAAAAATGACCAGATTTATAAATCTTTTGCCAGAAATTTTCTCTGAGTTTCACAGTTTTCCTTTACCTTACCTTTTATGTTAGGAACTGAGGGGATCAGTGTCAGTGGGTAGTCACATGCAACATGGTATGACTTTGTATTTATTTAATTTTGACTCAAATATTTTGGGCAAGTTTGCTGTGAATGCTTCCACTGAGACCTACAGGTCCACAACTACTAGGAAACAAATCAGTACAAGTTTTACAGTCCACTGTAAATTCTGACTTTGCATCACCCAGGTGGGACTAATCACACCAGTAAGATAAATAGGAGTTGACACTTTGTGAAAAGACTCTGTGAGAGCTGGCAGTGTGTGTTAACCATGTCTGTAGCAAAGGAATAACATTTGGTGGTTTAAGTTTTGCAGACCCCACATTTTCATTTTAGTGCACTGAACAGTTGCTACAAGGTTGTATATATCCAGTCTATTTCAATATTTTTATTGATGACATGGATGAGGGCATTGAGTCTTTCACCAGTAAATCTGCAGACGACACTAATCTGGGATTGTGTGCCAATCTGTTGGAAGGTAGGAGGGCTCTGCAGAGAGACCTGGAATGGTTGAATGGATGGGCAGAGTCCAATAGGATGAAGTTTAATAAATCCAAGTGCCAAGTCCTGCATTTTGGCCACAATAACCCCCTGCAATGTTACAGGTTGGGGATGGTGAGGCTGGACAGTGCCCAGGCAGAAAGGGACCTGGGGGTGCTGGTCAAGAGCTGACTGACCACGAGCCAGCAGTGTGCCCTGGTGGCCAGGAAGGCCAATGGCTCCTGGCCTGTGTCAGGAATGGTGTGGCCAGCAGGAGCAGGGAGGTCATTCTGCCCCTGTACTCAGCACTGGTGAGGGAACACTCTGAGTGCTGTGTCCAGTTCTGGGCCCCTCAGTTTGGGAAGGACATTGAGACACCTGAGTGCGTCCAGAGGAGACAACGAGGCTGTGAGGGGCTGGGAACACAAGCCCTGTGAGGAACCCCTGAGGGAGCTGGGGGTGTTTAGCCTGGAGAAAAGGAGGCTTAGAGGTGACCTTATCACTCTCTACAACCCCTGAAAGGCGGCTGTAGTCAGGTGGGGTTGGTGTCTTTCTCCAGGAGCAACTGACAGAATGAGAGGACACAGTCTTAAGCTGTGCCAAGGGAAATATAGGTTGGATATTAGGAGAAAGTTTTTTATGGAAAGAGTGATAAAGTACGGGAATGGTCTGGCCAGGGAGGTGGTGGAGTCACCATTCCTGGATGTGTTTAAAAAAAGACTGGATGTGGCACTTGGTACCATGGTTTAGTTGAGGTGTTAGGGCATGGGTTGGACTCGATGATCTTGAAGGTTTCCTCCAACATTGTGATTCTGTATTTTTGTGACTAGACTGGGAGTGAAATAGTTTGTCCAAAACTGATGATATTTTTTAAGACTAAATGGATTTTCTAAATCATCCATTATGGTACAGTGGGTGCAAAACTACAGTACAACAATCTCCAGGAAATGTATATATTAC